TACTAGATGAATGCTGCTTCGGCTGCTTTTGCGGAGGCAAGAGAATGTAGATTCATCGGGGTAGTCTCGTCTATACGATTTTGCCGGGTGGACTCAAGGGGGGGTGCCATCTATACAAGAAGAAGTGCCATCTACACGAGAAGAAGAGGAAGCGAAGCAAGATGTTTCATATGCCTCTTTTCGCTTAATCAACCCCTGAATTTTTAAAATCGCCTTCCAAGCTCCAACCTAGGGTAAATTACAACCACCCCTGAGGTATGGTAAAATTACGAAAACCTCTCTTTTGTTTGGGTAATTACAACAACCCCTCAACTATAAATTTTCTTTTGCGTCCACCCTTGCGGTTTCAAATTTAGTGGAATCTTCTTGATTATATGGAATATTATCACTTTTGTACCCGTTTTATCCCATTTGAGCTCCACATTTTGAATCAAGATGATCATAAGATGTGTTTTTTGGCTTGTATAAATCATATTGTGGTGCATCGGAAACTGTATTTTTACACAAAATGAGTACAAACTAGAGAACATTCCATGGAATTTAGATGATTATGTTGAATTTGACACCATAAGAGTGGAGATGTAAGGAGATTCATAGTTGAGGGGTAGATGTAATTATCCAAACATGAAGGGTTTTTTTCGTATTTTGATCATACCTCAGGAGTGGTTGTAATTTACCCCCAACCTATCATCTCGGAATCGAATTCATTTGCTTTTGCAGTGTCTGCATATCGATCGGTTTCAAAACCTCGATATCGGCTTAAGCCTTCCCGGATCCGACTTTCTCTGAACTCTTCTACCCCCGCCCTCTCGCCTGAGCCCTTTCTTTTCAATATAATCAAGGGGCTCTAAGATCTTCAGTTTGCATGCACTAGTATACATCACCATTCAAATTGTGGTGCAACTTACTAACAAATAGATAATCAATTTTTTTGTAGAGTTGTATGAATTGAGTAACTAGTAAAGCTTTCGGCTATAAAAATATTCGTCATTGTTTTTTAAAGATTATCTAAATTTGCATCAAAACCAGTATAATAACATGATGTTCGTTTGCCCACACATTATTAGTCTAATTTAATTTACATCTCTTATACAATCTTTTGAGTAGCTGTCGGTTCTCTGATCAATAAAAAATTCGAGAGAGAACAAACTGTGATTCCAGAACACTTCTCGTGGTTGTTGCTTCGATTGTCAATCTCAGAAAGGGTAATTAATCACGGCCTCCCCTTGAGGTAAAGTCAAATTACGAAAATTCACTCTGTTTTTTGGTAATTACAACCACACTTCAATTGTGAATCTTCTAACACATTCACCCTTATGGTGTCAAATTCAACATAATTTTTTAGATTCCATGAAATTTCCTCTAGTTTGTACTTGTTTGTACAAAAATGCAGTTTCGAATGCACCACAATCTGATATTTACAAGCCAAGAGACACATCTTATAATCATCTTGTTTCAAAATATGGAGCTCGAATGAAATAAAACGCGTACAAACTGGAGAATATTTCACATAATCTAGAAGATTTCACTAAATTAGACACCGCAAGGATGGACGTATAAGAAGATTCATAAATGTTGGGTGATTGTAATTACCAAACACGAGTGATTTTTGTTTTATAATCATTTGACCTTAACTCGAGTGACCCTAATTTACCTTAAAAAGAAGGGTAAATAATTACGAAACCCCCTGAACTTAGGCTAAATTACGAAAAATACCCCACTTATCCGTAATAACTAGGGGTGCAAGTTGGAACGGAATTTCCAATTTCCGCCGATTCCGATCCGAAAAGTTTCGATTTTGGAACAACTTTTTTCATTCCGACTTCCGAAATTCCGATTTCCGAATTTTTCCGATTTTTTTGGATTGGAATTGGAATTATATAAAATAAATTTGGAATTTCCGATTTCCGATCCGATTTAATTCCGAAAAAATCCGATTTTTTTCCGAAAAATACACCTATAAATAATATATATTATATAATACTTATTTTCCGAAAAATACACCTATAAGTTTTGTTTTAGGATTTTGACATAATGAATTGTTATTAGAAGTTTTATTGGATATTATGTTGTGTTTATTTTTATTTATTTTTTTGAACTGAAATTTAGTAGTTATTAGTTTTACTTTTATCGACGTGGATGTTCTTATTTTTGAAAAATTATGAACATTACAGAAATTTTCGGCTAAGTTTTGAAATTTTAAAGCTTATGTGATTTCCGATTTTTTTCCGAAATTCCGAAATTTCCGGGTCTTTTGGAATTGGAATGAATTTTTTGATTCCGAAATTTTATGAATTGGAATTGGAATTGATTTTGTACTTCCGAAATTTTTTGGAAATTTTCCGAAAAGGCTAATTTCGATCCGATCCATCCGACTTTCACCCCTAGTAATAACCAAAACCCCCCTCTGATTAACTGTTGATCGAGTTTTTTAACAAAAAATGTGTACAATCTATTATATCTTCTGTTAAAAAGGTGAGAAATAAAATATCTGAAATTTTGTAAAGTCTATTCCTTGGAATAAAAAAAATCCGTTAAAAGTCACACTGTAATGGGGTTGGTGTAAGATGGAAACAAACTTCAGGGGTTTGATAATTACGAATAGGAGAAGGTGGTTTTTGTAATTAATAGAAGTTTAGGGTGTTTCGTAATTTACCCTAAAGAGAGCGAACAAGTGCGATACAAATACGACAAGTGAAGGGTAAAATAGTAAAAAGTAATAGTTAAATGGGATTATTTGAGAAAAACCCCCCATATGCCTTTTATACTTAGTGTAGACCCAATTTTTTTTTCCGTTTTTGAGATAAATCCTAAATTTTATTTATTAACTATTTTTATTATGATGTCTCCATAATACCCTTAAGTATTTCCTTGTATAGATCCAATTTTCTATTTTTATTAATATTAAATTATAATAATTTAATTACATCAACCCTAATCTTACCAAACGATGTTTCACGATTCTTTTTCTTTCAACATCAGCGGCCCCCTCTCTTCCTCAACACTCCAAATCTCGGCCTTCTCCATCGATGTAAGACATCCACTGTTTCGCCATCATCAACGCCTTGATGGACCTTCATCCTCTAGATCAGAGATCTCCATCTTTCCAGACGGCACAGAAAGATCTTGTGTTTTTTTTGTGATGGGATCGACGAGTTGTACGGGTAATTTGAAAAATATGGAGAATTTTAATTATTTCTTGTTCTATTTTTTTACTTGATTTTCGGAGCCTTTCAGTTTTTATTGAATTTGTTTTATTCAATAAATTGGAACGCACAATTGTTAATAATAATATAATTTAATATCGTATTCAATTGGAACGCACAAATTTGGAGATATTGACTTGAACTATGAATAATCATGATTTTCAACTAAAAATAATAATTTGATTGTAATTAGATTGTAATTTTTATTTTGAATTGGATTTTTTCTTTGAAAAGGTGATTTGTTGTAGTGGATTAGGTTAATTCCGTAGTGGTTTACATTACTATTTTAGTGAATTTCGATATAATTGAACTCAATTTTGTCTTTGAAAAAAGGGATTTGTCGTAGTGAATTAGTTTAATTTCGTAGTAGATTACATTAATATTTTTTTTTTTTTTTTTTGGTAATGCAGGAACCCGCAGCCAACCATATAGGTGCACTGGGTAAACCTACACTCTCGTATAATAGCTTGCAAACCATACGAGAGATGTAAACCACACTAGGCTAACCATGTGTGACAAGCTCGACCTAGCGACCGTTGGCAAGGGGATTCGAACTTGGGTCAATTGACCCAAGCTCTCTTGCTCCAACCGCTAGGCCACCCTTGCGGGTGATTACATTAATATTTTTGTAATTGTTTTGTAGTGGATTAGGTTAATTTCATAGTGGATTATGCTAATATTTTGGTGAATTTTGATATTTTTTTGTAGTGGGCTTGCACAAGGAGTGATGGCAACAAGTGAGACGAGGTTGGGTGATGCCCGGGTGAATCTACTATTGTAAGCGATGACATTGTTTATTAAAGGGGACTTTTGTGTTGATTTAGGCAAGTTTTTAGTGGATTTTCTTTTTGTAAAGTAGATCTTTTGTAATGAATTTCTATATTTTTGTAGTGTTTTTGATGAACTTGTAGTGGATTTCAAACAAAATATACCTGACGCAGCGCGAGCAATAGAGGAGGGGTGTGGATGCGCTTACAGTAAATAGTGGTTTTTTAATACACACGCGACATTAAATAGTGGATTTCGACCAGTGAATAGGGGATTTCAAATTCAGACATTGAATAGTGGATTTCAAACAGTGAATAGTGGATTTCAAATTTATAAAATGAATAGTGGATTTCAAATTCAGGCAATAAAATAGTGGATTATGGTAATTTTATAGTATTTCATTAAATTTTGAAATATTTATAGTGAATAGTGGATTTCAAACAGTGAATAGTGAATTTCAAATTTATAAAATGAATAGTGGATTTCAAATTCAGGCAATAAAATAGTGGATTATGGTAATTTTATAGTATTTCATTAAATTTTGAAATATTTATAGTGCGGATTATGTTAATTTTATAGTATTTCATTAAATTTCAAAATATTTATATATAGTGAAATTCGATAAGGGTAGTGTATTTCAATTTGGTAAAGTGAAAAAAATTAATAAAAAAAATTAATTAAAAGAATAAACCGGAAAAAAATTAATATTAAAAAAATGAAAATTAAAAATAATAAACAAATAAAAAGATTGAAAAACTAAAAATAATAAATAAATAACTATTTTTTAAAGTAGAAATAAAAAATAAACAATTTTTATTTAAATGAATCGAAAGAAAAAAACTGAACGTGGGTGTTCCGTGTTTGCATATATTAATCTAATTGATATTAATTTTTAATATTTTTTATGAATATAATAGGGCTAAATAAGGTATTATGCTAAGTGGGGATTATCCCTAATAGTAAATTTAAAAATGGATTTAAACCTCTAAGGGAATTGCATAAGGGGGTTATCTCATATAATCCCTA